GAGATCAAGGTATGGTATAGTGCAAAGGCAGTAATTCTTTGGCATGCACTAAAATATCTCACCCAACCTGAGAGAGCATTGCAGTATCCCATGCAGGAACAATTAGGTAATCAACCAAGGGTACAGACTTATTTTACTGATGTATCTGCAAGAGAAGGAATCAAATATGTAGACCTAGATGACATAGGAAGCAACTTATATGTGAAGGTGTCCCAGGGAAACAAAAATGGAGGCACTGGAATGGCCTCCCGTGGCAGGACCCGAGGCAAGGGTGACCCGCCCAGGAAAAGAGAGAGAGAGCCCTGAGAAGAAGGCATACTTACCACCCACAGGGAAAAGAGAGCCGCGCCGAGAAGGGCTGCTGGCGCAGTTCATCAACCGCTTTTATTGCTGACTGGGGGCGGTGCCAGCAGATGACGTCAGGAAAAACCGCCACCCGGTGGATTCAAACGCCGGAGGCAGAGAAATGGCAGGAGAGACGGCAGGGACACCCGAGGGTGGAGTTACTCCCCGGGCGGCGTCTCAGAAAGATCAACAGCCCTGGAAGGGGCAGGGCAGAGACCCTCTGGAGGGCTCTCAGCTGTATTAAGAGGACCCAACACCCTGCTTGGCAGAACAACTGGGGCAAAGAGGGACGACGTCAAGGGATCAGAAGGACCACAGACATCGGACCTGTGAGTGGGGGTGGGCAGAGACCTGCACCCCGATCCTTTCGTTATTTCTTTTCTTTGTTCACTTTATTTTGGAGGGCACCCGGAGTCGTGACCAAGGAAAGACCCTCCACGGGTCCAGAGAGAGCGAGGTGGGATTTGCAGGAACCTTGGAGGAAGTTCAGACGCAAAGGCGGAGACGATCGCAGGCCTCGCGGTCATCCAGGACAGGCAAGCCATCCAGGGATGGACAAGGTGGTAAAAAGACAGATGAAGACATCACAGGGGACAGGCTGGCAATCCACCATCTGACAGTCCTGAGGGCTGATGCATGGCTGGGGGGTAGGGAAGGTGGAGCCCCAAAAACGCCTTCGGCAGGTAGTACCCAGTCTGCGAGAATCCCTGAGAAGGAGCCTCACCACTGAAGAAGAGAAGACCAAGTCGTGGCAGGCGTGCGTCGGGATTTCCCTCAGGGTGGAACGTGACCTAACACCTAGGTTCTGGGGACATACCTCTCGGCTGAGCCAAGTGAGCGCTTGAAGGCTGCCCGAGAGCACCTATAGAGGTCAGGCAGGGCAGAAGGGAATTAAACCTTTAAATTTTGAGTTTGTGCCCTATAACTAGGTCAGAGCCAAGATCAATGTATGAATTTACTAAGAAACAAAATAACTTTTTTGTAAAGGTACAGAAATAAATTAGATTTTCAGCAAAACTCAAGCTATCTGTTTAGTAATGGTAACACTTATTTTCCATGATATACTTGCTGCTATGCTGCTTCCACTTCAGGGGAATCATAAGCTGACCTCCCAAGTGAAAGCTTTTAGTGTTCTTGTTAAAATCAGAAATTGATACAACAAATAGGATTAGGAGCTGTTATGTGGCTATAACTTTGATATCCTTGTTTGAGGAGACAATCCTGTTGTTTATTTATTTGGCTATCTTTTGATCAGACAGTTATTCATCTTGAATATGTTTGTGCTCAGTTTTATTCCTGTAAGGTAACAGTTCTGTGTGTGCTGTTTTTCTTCTTGGCTAAGTACGGATGGTCAAAAAGCTGAGGCTGAATCAATTCAGTCTCTGCAGGTTAATCTAAGATGCAGAGATTAAATTGAGAAATGACTGGACAGACATTCACTTTTGATTCGGGGAATGCAGCCACATACCTGCAGTGGCTCAGGTCAGAAGCCGGGGCTCTCTGGCACGAAGCCAGCATGGGTTGTGTGTTCACTTCCTCATTCTGCTGCCCCTGAGGTCTCTGGGATTTGCAGTCTACAGTCACAGCAGAAGGGTTGCTGCAGGGTTGCTCATCATTTCCTCTTCCTGCTTTCAGGTGCTGCTGAGATTTGTAGTCCACAGTTGCAGCCAGCAGTAAGTTTTTAGCAGAGCAGGGCAGGGCAGCTCTGTATTTGGGAAAAGGAAAGTTTTTTTTAACCCCCCTCCCTGGCCCCAGAACCAGGTCAGGGTTTGCATGGGGGGGAAGCAGTCCCTGCCTTCTCTCCTCCTCCGCCCCCCCCACCCGCTTCTTTGTTAGAGCAGACAGCCTAGCCCAGGGCTGGAAAGCATGCTGGGGGACTCTGATTCAACTTGAACCAGGAAGGGGCCTGAGACACAAGTTTTCATAAACTGGTTTGACTCAAATCAGTTAAATCTGATACTACATTCAACCAGGTTTATCTTAAACCAGTTTTAGCCATTTTGAAACTGGTTTCTGTACACTGAGCCTCTGTTCTGTTTACAGGTTTAAACCAGTTTCTGATGACTTAAACTGGTTTATGTATAACTTCTGTCCCTAGCCCTTGTAATATGACACTCAGTTTACAAGTGAATTCTTCTTCTTGAAAAGCTCTGTATACAGGATAGGCCACATAAGATACCTGTGAGTTAGGATGGGCAGCCATTTAAACAGCAGTTGAAGTCCCCACAGGTTGGGCTGGTTTTCTGCTTGGCAGACCTAAACACTGTGGGTTATACTGTGTATTGTTGACTTCACAGGGACAAAATTAATTTGCATTCTTTTTACTAGATATTTTGCCGAGTTCCATGGAAGTGCTCTTTTATTTTACTTCACATTTCCTGATAGTGTTTCATAGACCCCCCTCTACACATGATATCTATTGCACAATTTCCCTGTTAATTATATAACTTTAGACTGACTACACATGCAGATTTACTATGGTGCCTTAAGGTCCAACAGGCTATAAAGTTATTGCTCAAAAATGTGTAATATCTTCATCGTGGGTTTCTATCCAGCTTTAATTTATATGTGTAGGCATTTCCCACGGCTGGGACACAGGTGCAGCCAGGATCAGGAGTCCCCTCGCTAGCTGGCCACCCTTTCAGCAGAGGGGGCTCCCAGCTGTGGGAGCCTGCTTCTTGCCGGTGCAGTGGGAGCCTGGGATTAGCCCTCCCTGCATTGGCAATAAGGCACAATGGGATCTAATGTGCGATCCCACAATCATGCCTCCTGCTGTGCATGTGTGGTATGGTAGGAGGCGTGATTGTGTGGATCACACATTAGATCCCATCATGCCTTTACCTGTATGTGTAGAGGGGCCCATAGTGCAGGTAAAGGGAGGAAGAAACATAAATGCCTCTCTGTATATCTTGTATCATTTCCCTTTCCCGTTGTATCATACACACATAGGAATCTTTCCATATAACTTTCAAGTGCCTTTTCAGGTTTTGTCTTCAGTCACAATTGAATACTTCCTAATTCAGTTGTTGTGTGTTGCTTTAATCTATTGTTTTTACTGATGGAGATGAAATAATTGAACAACAATGCTGGATTTAAATTAATATTGACATTTACATAAAACTGTGATTTGCTGTACAAAATTATTTTCTAGATTGTACATGCAACAATGTTACAAGGGAATTATTGGTTTCTATCCTCCCCCACCCCACCATTTTTAAGTATGCATATAATATGGCATATTTTAAAGATCATATTTACCAACACTTTATGCAGTAGGTTCCCTATGATGAAACAGCTCAGGATATGTAAATTCTGTTCAGTAAATAGAATGCACTGTTGCTTCTGTTTTTGCATCATACTTCACCTCAGTTTCTATTATACTTAACTGCATTTTCTCTCCTTTTTTTTTTTTTTTTGTAGCACTAAGGTCTTGTTTTAATATCAAAATAGCATTTGAGTTTTACAGTTTTGTGTATTTACAATGCATATAACAGACCATCACATGTTAGGAAGGTGATTGCTAAATCTCTTTGGTTTAATCTCTGGTTTAATCCAAAAGAGTATCTTGTCCAGGAACTCATTGGAGAGGTGGTTTGATTTGTAAAACCCTGGTAATAAGGGAAATGGTTTCTTATGGCCCACAGAAAAATGTGAAACCTTTTGTAATTGGCGCAAAACATTAATTTTAATATATTGCATCTCAGCGTACTAATTATTAATTATTAGTGTACTAATTATGAATGTAACTTATGGTATCTGGTTAATAAAATGAGTCTCAGCAGAACAGTATAACAAATTTGTGCTCTGACTCGGTAGTAGTTTTGATTCAGGATGGTTTTTTCTTTAAAGTAGAAATAACTGTCAAATAAGCTTTCACTCTACTACTTGCCTGTCTGGTTGGTGCCACTGATGCAGTAAGTGTTCAGGGAATGAAAAGGTTAGAAGCACCTTTGGCACAAAGCAGGAGCTTGGGTTTCCATCTGCTGGTTCTGTTATTAAACGAAAACATGGCAGATGTTTATCATTGCTTTTGGCAGGCTAAAGAGGAGCAACAGCTAAGGGGTACCTAAACACATGTGGCACAGTGAAAGAAACTCTCTCCTTAGTTCTTAAATGTTGTTCATTTTTTGTTTGTTTTTTTTTTTAATCCCGTGGAAGCTGATGACTGCTTCCCATTTTCACTCTGAAGTTGGTTATTTGAACTAATTAGGCTGCCAGCAAGTGTAACATTTCAGCTACTTAAGGGAAAAGGGGAACAACCCCTAAGCAACACATTAGCTTTTACGATGTAACTGCTGTGGCTGGATGCTCCTGTAGTGATACAGTTAGACTAAATCACTATAAATTTAATCCTGAATGTAACAGGGTTAGTATTGCACAGGTGATAGTGTGCTTGTATTGCTATGGAAGTACACAGATGTAATGGTTACATCTTAACAGTTTACCACATATTATTTAATATTGATACACTTTTATGTCTGCCAGTGCCCTTAGGCTTTTTTATTTTATGCACTTTTTGAGGTTCTAGAGGCAAAATATTCCCAGTATTTCTCTACAGACAAATGTGTATGTAACCTTTTGAAGGTTTGGGCTCTTAATGAGTATTATCAATATAATTTCTATCCTCCCCCCCCCCCCCCCCTCCCCAAATTTAGTGTTTAGAAAGAGCCATGAAGTTTGCATTTGAAGAGTTCCATCTTTGGTATCAGTTTGCACTGTCATTAATGGCTGCAGGAAAAGTAAGTCTTGCCTTTTTGTATTTAAATCTTTGTACTGATTGTCAGTTATGATGGTATATTAACACTTACCTAGAAATCTTCATCTTTTAAGACTGTTTATAAAACAATAATTAATTACTCCTCGAAGTAGCTCTGTGGGAGTGAACTAACAATGATTTTTTTTCTCAGTACTTGTACCAAGGGACAAATAAAGACAGTTCTTGTCAAAGAGTTTGTCATTTAGGAAGTGAAAATGTTGAACATTGTTGCTCAGTACCACAAGCTAAAGTTTAAAGTGAATTTTACAGTATTTTATTTTAGATAAATGATACCTAAAATGATATACTTAAATAGAAATTCAGTAAAGTCTTACTTTCAATACTGTCACAGTGAACAGGTGACAGGTTTAGCTAAGAATTTACACATGTTCATCTTTTTAATTTTATTTACTTTAAGAACTGCTTATTATACCATCACTTGTAAATACTTTTCCATTATGCAATCTTAGATAGTTGAACCACATTTGATTATTATCACCTGGACTTTTTAAGCCCAACATACTACTTTTGGTTCCTTTGCTTTCTTCTCTTCCACGTGGGGTTACAGAGGGTAAACCAGATTTATTATGGATGAAGCAGGAGATGTCCATTATCTTTCCTCAAATCCTGTCTCCTTGGAGATGAGTGGGTTATTGTCATTCTGGAAAAAAATTAATTGCATTATTCTCCATAAATTATTTTAAGGAAATTTGTGTAATTCACTGACCTTGAGGGCCTTACTATTTCTACCCCATCTTCAATGTAGTTTACAGCAGCCTCTAAATTATGGTAGGGAAAAGGTAAAGGAAAAAATAGCCTTAGGCTCAGGAATAATGAAGGTCTGGTCTAAACTGCATTGGCTTAGAATATATTAGAATAGTCCCTTAAGTGTTGTTATACCCTCTGGTGATCACTGAAGTACATCCTGCTTTAGTTATCTGTCCACTCCCACCCACTTATTTGCCACCGCCCTGTGGGGTGACAATAACGGAAATGATATAAAGCCTGGTGTCTCCTCAGTTGCTCCTCTAGAGCACTTTGTTTTGTATGCATCACTGCAATGTAGTATGCAGGCCAATATCTGATCCAGCACATTTGACTTTGCTTAGTGACTACAGTGGGTCTCAAAGCCTCTCCTGTCTGATCTGACAGACGCTCTTGTGACAGGTCTTTTAACTTAAAATTGTTTAGGAATAGCTCCTTCAGTTGAAACGAGGTAAATCAGTTAATCAAAGTAGGAGTCTTGTTTTTGATGTTTCATGCTTCACTCTTAGTTGTTTCACTGAGAAATACATTTTTGCACAGTCTGCTCGAGCTGTGAAAGTCTTAAAGGAATGTATACGCTTGAAACCAGATGATGCTACCATACCACTCCTTGCTGCCAAACTGTGCATGGGATCTCTTCACTGGGTAAGTTGGATTTGTTGTCAGTCTAATCAACAAGAACTGAACACTTCTGGAATGTCACATCCTTAAGCTATAGACTTTAAAAATGCTCTGAGCATGATGACAGTGTGCAGTAGACTACTGACGGAAGATGCAGCACAGAAAAAGTTCTTATAAGAGTGCAACTGAACAGTACTGTAAACCAGTATCTATATGGGTTACAGAATATTTGGAAATGGTGGTTACCATTTTAAAAAGTCCGCATTTAACAATATTTAGCTTATTGATATTTGGTGCTACAGCTGTTGTATGCCAGTGTGTGATAACTTAATAAATGAAGCTGCTATATTAAGATACTTCCAAAGTTGTTCTCAGAGAGATCAGTAACTATTCACACAGAACATCACTTTTAAGGGAGTATATGATACAGGATTATTTGCCCCTTTTTGCTTTAATAGTAAATAATCAGAAGGAAGAATTGTAGCAGTAGCAAGCTCTCTTTGTTGCTCAGACATCCCAAGAATTAAAAGTGAAGTCTAAACTGTTGAGTTTACCTCATCATGTGTCGTCTACATACATTGTGTGTTTATGGTGATGTGTATAGAATTTCTCTAATAGATTTATTTAATTTAGTTCTATAGATAAAAAGTAAAAAAAAAAAAAAAAATCAAGGTAAACATGAATCAGATTACAGTTATTTCCTCACTTCAGAAAGAAAAAGCAACAATGAAAAACAGGCTTTCATGCTTTCTAATTTCAGTCTCTTAAAATGTTTCTGGGAAAACAATTTTATTTCTTCTAGGTTTTAAAGCAAGTTTTTTTTTCTAAAATCTAAATTAGGATTATGTTCAATCTTCCTGTTTCCCACTAAAAAAAATGGTCTTTAAGATGTCCTGAAACTGGTATCTCTCTACACAAAATGTTTAACTTTAACTTAGTATTCACTGTGGTTAGTGCACACATTACATTATGGACTTGAAG